TTAGTAGATCTATAGTTAGTAGTTTCCTATTTTGTTTGGGAAACTATTAATTTAAATCAACTACTATTTTTCTAAGTTTCTGTTCTTAAGAGTTTCTAGGATTCCGATTAGGAGTGCAGTTTTATTAGTTGCCAAGTCGAGTGTGGTTCTGAGTTTTCTGAGTTTGAGTTTGTATTGATAAGAGCTTCTAGGATTCCAAGTAGTGGGTTGATTATAGATCAGGCAGGTTGTGTCTTTTGCCCTGCTGAATTTGAAACAGCCAATCCACTCTTCTTGAACTGCCTGTTTGTAAATAAAGTTTTGAGTGTGGTTCTGCAATCATTTGGCTGGTAATGGAAAAGGTCACATTGAGACATGATGGGCAAAATGGAGGGATGCAACTGGAGTCCTATGTCATGGGAGAATACCATGTAGACTGGAAGGAAAATTTTATAAAACAGTTCAAGGCCACCAATGTTGTATCTTTTATGGGGTAGAAAATTGGGCAGTCAAGGAACAATATGCCGAAAAAATGAGTGTAGCAGAACTAAGAATGTTGAAAACTTGAAATGAATGAGTGGTAAAACTAGAAAGGATAGGGTCAGATCCTAGGGAAGGTAAGTTTTGGAACCCAGTAATAGAAAAGTTTGAGAAGAGGTTAGCTTCTTGGAAAAAGCATCGTTTCTTTGGAAGGGCATACCACATTGATTAGGGCTACTCTTTCCAATTTGCCTACCTACTTTCTCTCTGTTTTTAGGATCCCTCCTAGAGAAACTAATGAGAGATTTTCTTTGGGAGCTGGGGGGAAAGCAAAAAAGACAATCTAATTAAGTGGGAGATTGTGTGCAAAAGTAAAGAGGAAGGGGGATTAGGCATAGGAAATGTGGTACAAAAGAATGCAGCACTATTAGGAAATGGCTGTGGAGGTGGCCATTGGAAAGAGGAAGTTTGTGGAGTGAAGTGGTGGCAAGTATTGGATTTGTTTGTTGGGTTATGCTTGGAATTGTGTTGTAATTAGTGGGCTTTGACTTTTCATCTACCCACAACTTCTTGTTGTACCTGTCCTTTTAACTTAATGAATCATTTCTGTGTTGCTGATCAAAAAAGGAAAAAAAAAAAAGTAGTGGCAAGTATCCATGGTTGTTTAGAGAGCGATTGGGGTGTTAGCATATCTCATCAGGCCATGTTGACAACACCTTGGAAGGCAATTCACAGTATTCTTCCCCAACTCCTCAAATATATCAACTTATCAAGTATGATTTGTGTTCTAGGACTTTTGTTCTATCTTTGGAGGATTTGTGAGTTGGGGATTTTACATCAACCTTTTTCCATCTCTCTGTTTAAAAAGGAGGTTGTATCCAAATTTATCTCTACTTCGATAAATCCTTTGGATCCAACTTGGGATCTTGGTTTTCGTATAGGGTTAAGGGATGAAGAGGTTGGTTCCTTGTCCAATTTGTTGAGTATCCTCAGCAAAGTTTGTGCAGATCCCTCAAATCCAGACAAAAGGGTTTTGTCTCTACTTTCCGAAGGGTCTTTTTTTTTTTGAAGAACAAAAATAAATTCATTAAAAGAAAAAGAGAATACAAGAGATAGGTGATAAGAAATCACTTGAGGGAAAGCATCAGACACAAACACAAACTCACTACCTTTGACACCAGATTACAGCCAAACAACACAAAAACAAAAAGCACACTTCTGGACACCATCACCCAACTCCTTGAACCACTGAACCCTGACAACATCTCCTTATTCCCCGCCCTCGAACACTCCATCATGCCTATCGACATCCTCACCCCACTTCTTTCTTCCTTCCCCAATTACTACTTTCTTCAAGCTCTCTTCCTTCCTCTTTCTCTCAAACTCCTCAAAGGCCTTCATAGCAAACTCCTCACCTCCCCAAAAAAATAAGCCAAGGTTTTTGCCAATCTCAACTTCTTTCTCCACTAACTTCTGAAGAGGCTAAGCTTCATTCTTTTTCCCCATTGAATTCTCGTCACCTTTGGATCCTTCAAAACTCTCTTTCTTATCTTGATGCACCTTACCCAGATGGGGATCCGTTGGTTGAGCTTGAATCATTGCTCTACAAAAACCAGATTCGGAAGGAGAAATGCCTCTCAATCCTTTTCTTTTGTAAACCCATTTAAAACTTTTTGTAGGTCCAGCCCCCCCTAGACCAAGCTTCAACTGAGAAAAATTTTTTGTCACATGAACAACAAGAGGGTTTCTTGAAACCCATGCTTTCTTGCTAGTTACCCCATTATCTGACTCCACATTTTTCTCATCAGCCTTGCTCCTCCAACCCCAGATCGACGCCCAATCTTCCAACTTTCACCTCTTCAAAACGCAAGTTGTCACCAGTAAGATTCTCGTCCCGGCAACCCTCATTGCCGCTTGCCTTGACAGCCCTCCCTTCTACAACCTCATCTTCGATTCTTCTTCGGCCTAGGTCCACCACTAATCTGCCAAACAACACCTTCCAGTAATAAGAGGATCAGTATTTGATCTTCCTAACTGGTTATTGTCCTTGCAAATCGCATTATCCAACCAATCTCCCTTCTTCCACCACTCTTCCCTCCTCTCCATCCTTGCTCCCCTTCACAGCTTTCTGCTTCTCCTCAGTGTTTCCCTATTAAGGAAGAAATTTGGTGTAGGCCTATTCCCTCTAAAGTAAGTGTTTTTAGCTGGGAAGTGTTTTATGGGAAAATAAACACTTTCAATAATTTACAAAAGATAAGACCTTTCTTGTGTACATCACCTAATTGGTGTATTCTGTGTACGTCCAACGATGAGGATTGCTACCACTTACTAATTTCTTGTTCAACTACTGCAAAGTTATAGGTTTGGCTTCTCTTTGTTTGGATGCAAGTGGAATTTGACAATAGAGGTTGGCATGTTATTTGATTATTCTACCTTTGCTTGGCCCAGAAAAAGGGGAAGGCTTATGTGGAGGTCTGCTACAGCGGCTTTGTTGTTGACCATATGGGAAGAAAGGAATGCAGGAATTTTCCAAGAGAAGGAGAGAAGCATTCAAGAGAAAAAGGATTGTGTGTTGAATAGTTCATCCAAGAACAGACTTCCAGCGAGCTGGACACCTCCACCTGAAGGCTATCTAAAGCTAAATTTTGATAGGAGTAGTTTTGACAACCCAGGCACATCAAGAATATGCGGGATTCTCAAAAATGAAGCTGTAGTTACTATAGTCTTTTTCTCGGGTCTGCTAGGAATTGGAGACTCCATAAGGGCTGAATTACTAGTGGTTGTTCGGGGAGTGCGAATTGCAAATCAGCTTGGTATGTATTCCTTACTGACAGAAGGTGACTCAAAAGTGGTAGTGGGGTGGTTAAAGAGCTCAGAGTCTGTTATTTGGTGCTATAGGAATGAAATCAAGAGATTTAAGTGGCTTACACAGAATATGAATTTAAGAATACAATGAGTGCGTAGGGCAGCTAATGCCTTGGTTGATTGTTTAGACGAGCAAAGGATTAATAGGGAACATTTGTTTTGGGCTCATAGGAGTCACTCTGATAGGTGATAAAATGAGGGCAAGTGGACTAAGATGGTTTGGTTACATGCAGAGAAGACCATCTACAGCTCCAGTGAGAAGTGACTTGTTATTAGTAGAAGGATCTAAAAGAGATTAGGGCAGACAAAAAGGACAAGGACAGTAATTGAAATAGTGAAAATGATTTAAGGATCCAGAACTTAATAATAGACAGCACTGAACAGAGCAGAACTTTTAGCCGCTGTACAAGGGGTGCAATTTGCAAACCAGCTGGGGGTACAACACCTAACAATTGAGGGGGATTCCAAAGTGGTGGTGGGTTGGTTGAAAAATCCTGAAGAGGCTATGTGGCGTTACAAGAATGAAATGAAGAAATTTAATTGGTTGACAAGGAATATGTTG